GCTGGGTCCAGGTTGCCTGCCCCCGCCTGTCCATTGACTGGGGCTACTCCTTCGACAAGCCACTGCTCACGCCGTATGAGCTCCATGTTACTCTGGACCAGATCGCCTGGCAGGCCGTCTACCCGATGGATTTCTATGCACGCGGCTCGCTTGGCCCCTGGACGCCGAACCATGTGGCCGCCAAGGACAATCAGCGAACCGGCAAGCGGCCCTTCGTCCCGCCGCATCTGGCCAGGAGGAAGGCAGCGGCGGCCGCGGCCGCGGCGGCATCGGCCACCACCCCGACCACGGACCCCGCCGCCTCGTCTTAGGCCTGTCTGCTTGTTGCAGTGCCTCCGATCGGCCGCCATGCTGACGTCGCCTCGTCTCCTGTGCATGTTCTCCTTCTTCTTTCCTCTCCCTCCTCCGTGTCCCATGCCCCCAAATAGAACCCAACGAATATGACACCATGTGAGTGTGTCAATTGCCCGTGTGATCATCTCATCTAAATGCCCACTGAAGCACGGCACGCAGAAGACAGCGTCCGGACGCGTGTTTGCGCATGTGTCCGGGAAAGCACAGCTATTTTCCCCATCTCCCGAGAGGTGATTAAGTGCCGAGGAATCGGTCGGCCAGAACCCCGCCCTTGGGACTGGGTTTAGGTAATGGTCGGCCGATGAGTGCCCCGGCAGGTGGACGCGCGGAATAATGGCCCGCCTCGGGGGGGGACAACGAGATGCCCCCCCCCCCCGCCAGCCCCCCTCGCGCACTGTCAACTAGCCCGGCAGGCCGAGCCCCTCTCGGCCCCGAGGCCCGGCGGACTGGCGGTGCGCTCCTCTTGACCAGCGGCAAGAGTAGCCCAGCGCGGGGACGGTGATTGGGGGTGGAGAACACCGACCAGCAGAACACGTTGCCCAGGCGCACAGCTCCTCATCCAAGTAAGAGCCAAAGGACAGATGGCAGCTGCCACGGTTCCATCTTTGGCAGGCGGCGAGGGCGGGGCCGCAAACTAGGCCACCCCGGTCTGTCCCCGCCTTGTCTTTGGGTGAGCTCCATCGCCGCCACCCTGCCGCAAAGCGCAGCCTAGGCCCTTCAGGGAGAGAGAGAGAGAGAGAGAGAGAGAGCCGATTGTGATCCATCACTCGCGTCAGGGCAGGGCGGCCCCCCGGGAGGAGCGGGAGAGGAGGCCGGCACGCCTCGCCTCTCCTCCACCGACCTGGGCCCATATTCAAAAGTCTCCTCGCCAAGTGCGGCGTCCTCTCGGGCGCCGCCCCAACGCTGCCCTCTATTCCCCCTCCTCCTCCCCCTTTCTCCCCCCCCCTCTCTCGCTCCTCCCCCGACGCAGGTATTTCGCCCTTCTCCCTGCCTCTGCCCTGCGCTCGCCCCTCGCATGCCTACACCCCGTCCTTTTTCTTTTCCCTCTCCCGCACCATGGTCTCCCCACAGTTGGCCCATGCATCGCTGCGCACGGGCCTCCCCCCCCCCCCTTTCTGATGCCTCACAGCAATCTCCCCAGTGCCACTGGCTGCGCCCCTGATGCTGCCTCCTCCCTCTCCTCCTCGCAAGGAGCAGGTGTCAAGGGATCACGATTTGGTGTCTCCCTGAGAATGCATCTAAACAGGCACAGGGGCAGGATGTGGGGGATACCGGCCCGGGCGTCGGCCTTGCCTGCGTGCAATGCACTCTCTCCTTGCCCTCCCCCTGTGCTGCGGGCAAGAGCAGCCCTCGCACTTTCCTCCCTCCAATGTCCCCCCTCCCCCGACACCATCTCACCTTTGCCCCCGCCTTCCCTCATAGTCCACCGCCTTCGAAGCCATGTTCGCCCTTCGTCCCTTCATCAACCGCCAGGCCGTCCAGCAGACCGCTGCCGCCGGTGCCCTTGCCCGCCGTTCCATGTCCACCGGTGCGTCTGTCCTGTCTCCGGACACACTGCATCTAGCCCCGCTGCGCGCCTGGCCACTCACTCTCTTTGACCATCTCCATCTTCCTCGGGCTTTTCCTCAGGCTCTGCCCACACTGCCTGGACTGTTGATCGCCGTGCGTTTCACCCTCCCTCCGGCCCTATGCTATCTGCTCCCTCGCGCCGCAGTACACGCCGGCCCCCTGTCCCGCTAACCCAGCCATCTAGTTTCTGCCGTCGGTATTGCCCTCATGATTCCCGGCTACTTTGTCCTCCCCTCCGCCGCCGTCGACTCCATCCTCGCTGGCCTGATCCCGGTCCACCTTTACTTTGGCTTTGGGGTGCGCACATCCTCCCATGCCCATGGCTCGCCTCATGCAACAACCCACCGATCTCCATACACACCGGCCCCGGCACTCACATTTGCAACCCGCCTCCATCGCAGTCCTGCATTACCGACTACATCCCCAAGCGCTCCATGCCCTTCCTGAACCGCGCTGCTGGTGTCCTCTCGCTGGCTGTCTGCGCTGCTACCTTTGTCTCCATGACCCACCTGAACAGCCGCGATATCGGTGTCACTGCCACCCTCCGTGAGCTCTGGTCTGTCGGCGGTCGCCCCAAGGAGACCACCTACGTTCAGTCCTCCTAAATGATGGGCTAGCACCGGCGGACGGTCCTCTGCGCCCCCCCCCCCCCCCCCCCCCCCCCCCCCCCCCCCCCCCCCC